GCATGAGCTCTTTGTATATTCTGGATGTCAACCCCTTATCAGATATGTCATTTATGAAAATATTCTCCCATACTGTAGGATGCCTTTTTGTCTACTGATGGTGTCCTTTGCTGTACAAAAGCTTTTTAGTTTGATATAGTCCCACTTGTTCATTTTTGCTTTTGTTTCCCTTGCCCGGGGAGATATGTTCATGAAGAAGTTGCTCATGTTTATATTCATGAGAGTTTTGCTATATTTTCCTCTAAGATTTTTATGGTTTCATGACTTACATTCAGATCTTTGATCCATTTTGAGTTTACTTTTGTATATGGAGTTAGACAGTAATCCAGTATCATTCTCTTACATGTAGCTGTCTATTTTTGCCAACACCAGTTGTTGAAGAGGCTGTCATTTCCCCATTTTGTATCCATGGCTCCTTTACCATATATTAATTGACCATATATGCTTGGGTTTATATCTGGGCTCTTTATTCTGTTCCATTAATGTATGGGTCTGTTCTTGTGCCATTACCAAGTTGTCTTGATTACTGCGGCTTTGTTGTAGAATGCACTAGATATTTTATCTGTTTTATTCTGCCTCCCTCACTGGAAAGGAAATGCCACAAAGGCAGAGGTTTTTGTCTATTTTGCTATGTATCTCTAACACCTAGACCAGTGCTTGGTGCTTAGTCAACACCCATAAATATGTGTTGAATGAGATTTAATGTATGCTTGGATTAAAGGATGCAATAAAACCTGTGCCTCCTTTTACAGAACACAAAATATAAAGAAATGAAATGTTTTAAGAATACTAAAATATCTTTCATTGAATCCACTTTTGAGTGTATGCCATCTGCTAGGCATTGTCCTCAGTATAGGGATGCAGCAAATGAATCTGACAGAGAAGGTTTCTGCTCACTAGTGGGGAAGACCAACAGGAAACAATTACAGAAATAATTCCTTGAAGTAGTATGCCATTGACATGAGGGTGTGGAATAGGGGGAATCTCCCGTAATCTGGAATATTAAAGGTTTTCTTGAAGAAGTGAAATAAAAGTTAAGACCTGAAAATTGAGTTGGAGTTGGGTAGGTAAAAGAGGTGGAGAGGAAGTGTCAGGTGTAGGTAAAAACATGCATGAAGATCCTGAGGATGAATCAACAAAAAGCACAAATAGGAGTTGAGAATTTAAGGCATAATCCCAAATACATACTGATCTTTCAATTGATTACTTAGATCACATGATTGTCAGTTACATCAGGGTCAGACATTCTGCATTTCTTCAAATTTCCATGCTACTTCATAGCAATCTCAAGTATATACTGATTTACATAATAATAGCTCCAAATGATGTGTTTAACATTTTTCTTTTATTTAAAAAATAAATTTACAAGAAACACTGCTATAAGGTTTCCTATGCTTAGATTACCATGCAAATATCCAGGTGCTTCTGACAAGAGTCACTGCTTCTCAGACTTAGTCGCAGACAAGCAGGATGCGGTCTCCCATCTAGAGTTCAGGCAGCATTGATACTAGGGGTTGGGGCTGCAGAGGTGGTGGTGCTCCAATGAGCACAGCACTGCTTCTTCTTTTAGACTTCCTTGCTGCAGTGGACTCCTGGTTCAAGGTCTTGCTGCCCAAGATATATCCATGGCTCTACCACAATGGGGGCAACATCATTAGCATCCAGGTACAAGTGGAAAGTTGACTGGGCAAGGGAAAGGAAGAGCCAGGTGTCCTTAACCTTCTCCACCTTATAGCTGACTTCACTTTTCCTTTCCCCTGGCAGGTGGAAAATGAATATGGTAGCTACAGGGCCTGTGACTTCAACTATATGCAGCACCTGGCTGGGCTCTTCCGTGCACTGCTAGGAGATAAGATCTTACTCTTCACTACAGATGGGCCTGAAGGACTCAGATGTGGCTCCCTCCAGGGACTCTTTACCACTGTAGATTTTGGCCCAGGTCTCCTGAGCAAGGGTTAGGAGTGGAGTCTAGGGAAAGGGCACCTCATCTATGAAGTTTACCTTTCACCTTTGCTTCCTTCCTGCAGCTGACAACATGACCAGAATCTTTACCCTCCTTCGGAAGTATGAACCCAATGGGCCACTGGTGAGGAGCCAGAGCAGGGAGGGCAATCAAAGCAAGAGTCAGGGTTAGGAATGGGTCTAACTCAGTTCCCATTTCTCTCACGGCTCCTTTCACTTCACATTCCAGGTGAACTCTGAGTACTACACAGGCTGGCTGGATTACTGGGGCCAGAATCACTCCACACGGTCCATTACAACTGTAACGAAAGGACTAGAGAACATGCTGAAGTTGGGAGCCAGTGTGAACATGTAACTGGAAACACTGGGGCCAAACATGCATCTATAGACTGGGTGTTGGGATGAAAGTTAAGATTCAGTGGGTAAGCTTTTACCCCCCTCCCCCACCTCCTCCACTCAGGTACATGTTCCATGGAGGTACCAACTTTGGATACTGGAATGGTGAGTCCAGATCGTCCCTGGGACAGAAAGGAGGTTGTAAGGAAATAGAATCTGAGGTCTGGTTGGATTAGGATGTCTAGAAGCTGGATATGGCCACCAGTGCCCCCTCTAATGGCAAAAGTCTCTGCATGAATTTCTTTGGTTAGTGTCTATCATCCAAAAGATATGTTAAATGAATTAAATTGGTTCAACCCCAGGTGCTGATGAGAAGGGACGCTTCATTCCAATTACTACCAGCTATGACTACGATGCACCAATATCTGAAGCAGGGGACCCCACACCTAAGCTTTTTGCTCTTCGAAATGTCATCAGCAAGGTGCCTTACCACTTCATTAAGCACCAAAGTCTTTTATTTTATTAAGTTGGGGGAAGGGAGGGTCCAAATTATTTGTAAAGGGATCCCATAAATCAGTGGTTGTGGTTTGGGCCAGTGCCCTCTGAGCATCCTATTGAAGCATTTCTTACCACCTAAATGGGAATACCTGGGGAAATACAAGTTTGTACAAAATTACAGGATCGATCTTTCTGACCCCTGAAGGCCTTCCCTGGACCCCAGGTTAAGAACTCTGCACAGGGGTCTCCAAATAGGGATTATTTGTATGGTTTTCCTATGGTTCCTAAGAGAATTTGGGCTCAGTTCCAGGAAATTCCCTTGGGACCTTTACCTCCCCCCAGTCCCAAGATGATGCTCGGACCTTTGACCTTGCACCTGGTAAGCTCCTCCCCATCTTTTCCTTATTCTCTAAATACTCCAACCTTCCCTGCCCTCTGATACTTCCATCTTATTCTGATACTCCCCACTTACTCTAATAGGATGGGGATTTGCTGGCTTTCCTAGATTTTCTGTGTCCCCAAGGGCCCATCCACTCAATCTTGCCATTGACCTTTGAGGCTGTCAAACAGGTAAGGCATAATCCCACATCTGGTCGGTATGGCAACCTTCCTCAGCTGGGCATTTTCCCCACAGTATCCTTTTTTATCTCTCAGTTCACCTTAAGTCCTCATTCTTCCACACCCAGGATCATGGTTTTATGTTGTACCGGACCTATCTGACCTATACTATTTCTGAGCCAACACAATTCTGGGTGCCAAACAATGGAGTCCATGACCGAGCCTATGTGATGGTGGATGGGGTAAGAAACCTAACTTCAGGCTACCTTGTGAATGCATTTTTTCTCTTTCCCAGCACCCCTTAGCCTTAAGTGTGCCACCTTTTCCTACTGCCTGCCCACATTTGCAAGGGGTCCAGGGATAAGCTGGAATAAGGGAGAGCTTCACTAAGGACAAGTCTGTAGAATGATAGGTAACTAACCAATGGGCTACATTCTCTTTGTCCTCCAAATAAGTGTCCTCATTCAACTTCCTGTATGGTAGCTACGAGCTAGATGCTGAGCCCTCCTCTCATAGGTCCTCTAATCCACAGGTGTTTCAGGGTGTTTTGGAACGAAACATGAAATACAAACTATTTTTGATGGGGAAATTGGGGGCCAAACTGGATGTCTTGCTGGAGAACATGGGGAGGCTCAGTTTTGGGTCTAACAGCAGTGACTACAAGGTAAGCTAGCTTTGCCCACCCTCTTGCCCCCATATACTCTTACTGACCAAACTCTCTTGGAAAGATAGGGGCCTGATGGAAGATAAACATCTCATTGTCTAAGGAGTTAGGCAGCAAAGCAGTGGCTTATGGGGTTCTGACACAGTCACTAATTGCATTCTAGGGCTTGCTTAGGGATAGTCTGGCCTTTATGCTTAATGAATGATGAATTTTCATTTGCCTTCTTCACAGGGCCTTTTGGAGCCACCAATTCTGGGGCAAACAATCCTTACCCATTGGCTGATGTTCCCTCTGAAAGTTGATAAGCTTGTAAAGTGGTGGTTTCCCTTCCAGTTGTTAAAAAGGTCACATCCTGAAACTCCCTCCGGTCCTGCCTTCTACTCGGCTACATTTCCAATTTCAGGCTCAGGCGGAGACACATTTCTCTTTCTACCTGGATGGACTAAGGTATTGCTGATAGTGATGATCAGGGTGGGGGCAGGGTGATGAGAGGAAAATCAAGAAAGGATGAGGAGCGGAAATTTCTTCTCTGACTGGAAATCCTAAAGGGGATGATTCTACCCACTGGGGAGCTGACTCTTTATTTCCCTCTCTCCTCCCTCCTTCCCAGGGCCAAGTCTGGATCAATGGGTTTAACTTGGGCCGGTACTGGACAAAGCGGGGGCCACAACAGACCCTCTACGTGCCAAGACCCCTGCTGTTTCCTAGCGGAGCCCTCAACAAAATCACATTGCTGGAGCTAGAAAATGTGCCTCCCCAGCTCCAAGTCCAATTTCTGGATAGGCCCATCCTTAATTGCACATTGCACAAGACATACATCTACTCCCTCTCAGCTGGTGTACAGGGTACCTCTGAACAGTGGGCACTGAAAGGAAGGTAACCCTTGGACCTAGGTCATGGAATGGGCAGGACCCCTTGGTGCTGGCCATGGTGACTATAAGGAACAAAAGGCCACTAGGCCGAAATGTAAGTACAAGCGCAGTTTCCTTGCCAAACTTTATTGTGATTAAAGTTCCAGAGACAGTAGCAGCTCCACACATTTCTGTAGCTCTGTCTTTGCCCTGGTTCCTGAGTGTCCCTCACCCTTCCAAATACTCTCATTTTGTGGGAAAGAAGAAACCTAGGGCCAGTGTGAATGTGTTCTCTCAGGGCCCACAGTTCAGGAAAAGGGTTTCCTGGCTTGGCAGCGATGATCGTGGAGGCAGCGTGTAGAGCAGAAAGAGAAGTCAAGGTAGTGAAAGGGAATGAGTCCTTGGAGGGATGTCCCACAACTCCAGCAGCGTCTGAACAAGAGGAAGAAAAATGGCTGGATAGGTACCCCAGAAACTTGCCAATCCAAGCTCTCCCCATCCCTCCTGCCATTTCTGTTTTTACCTCAAAGGTTCCCAGAAATCTCAAATCCCCTCAACAACCTTTCTGAATACTGTGTAGGCACTAGTTTTACTGGCCCAAACATTTTGGTCTGCCCATCACACCCGCCATGTCCACATACCCAGCACTGATGATTGCAGAGTTGGGGATCTGAGGGGTAGGGGCTCCCAACTGGGCAGCTAGTCGGCGCTCTGCAGCCAGAGCTCTCTGAGGGGAGAGAAACTGCATTAGGAACAGGCCCCAGTGGTGGATCGGGTACCCACGAAGTGACAGCTGCACACTGGAAAGGGATTAGACCTCTAAGGAAGTTTTGCTGCCGAAGAGAAAACCTCCAGCCTCACCTTCTCTCGGTCGCTAAGGGCAGCAAATTGCCGCTGCTCTTCTTGCTCCCGCTCCTCCTGCTCCTGCTGCTTCCGCTGCTGTTCTTCCCGTTGCCGACGGGCTGCCTTCCGCTCCCTTTTCCGGGTAGCCTGCTGTGCCTCCATTTCTGGTGTCAGGGGCCCTGGCACCTGGAGGATTTCCAGGAAGGTATAAGGTAAGATGTATACAAACTGTCTTTGGTAAAACTAAGAAAAGATCTAGCCAGGATGCTTTCCCACTTTGCTTCTCCTTTTCTAGCTGACCTGAGCCTTATTGTAGTCATAAGCATCTGGATTCTTCTCCATGAACCTTCGGAATTCATTGCGTGTTGATCTGTCAGCTGCAACCATATATGGGGGCCGGGCCCGGGAGTCCCTAGGTACGAAAACCCCAAAAAATTGATTCAACTCACTTCCTGAATCTCCCAACATCATTCACATAGACAGAGGGAGCTATCAAGTATCTAATGCCAATGTTAGCCTCCATATCATCTTCTCTAAATCCAAAGGGCTTGGCATGGGGACCCTTACTTACTGCACAGTGGGGTCAGCACCTGCTTCCAGCAGCAGGCGAACCACCAAGCCTCTCCCAGCTGCAGCTGCTGCATGCAGGAGCGTGAAACCACTGGAGCCCAAGGGGGCACTGAGCAGAGACAGAACTCCAGGGTCTACAGGGCTGATAGCTAGCTGGAGTTTCAGCATCCCAACATCTCCAGATCGGCAAGCAGCTAGAAGCACATCCCAGAGCTCTGACTGATCAGGGGTGTTGACTTCTTCCAGGGAAGGCCCCAACGGGACTGCATGTGCCTGGGCTAAGTGTGAGAAAGTCTCCTCTTGAGGTTGCTGGAGAAGAGTCATATGTGCCCCACTGTCCAGGTCTTGGCTTTTCTCCCTCTTACTTCTTTTCCTCCTCCTCCGCTTAGGCAGTGCCTCAAATTCACAAAGATCCAGGGTCCCCAATGTCAACTCTACTAGCTCCAACTCTACTTGGAAGTTGTCCTCTTCCTCTGACCCTGAACCTAAGGACAAATTTGACATGTTAGATCCATCTGAAGATTAAGTAGAGGGTGGAAGGATGTGGGCTGTCCTAGAACATAAGAATGTACACAAAGAGATAATCCAGATCATCTTGAAATGAAATTATTTGTATTTTGTCACTCAAGACAAGGTAGCACATCAAGAGTTGAATCCATCAGTCATATGCAGAAAGGAGGCTCTCAGCCCAGACAGGGACAAGAGTCCCTAGACTCTTCATGAGCAGCCTTAGGCTGGTGCACAACAAAAGAAAGCATGGGAGCAGTGACAGCCAGGCAGACCAAGAGTCTGCAGCCAGGGAAGCCATCCTTAGTTCCAAACCACAGCACCCAGTAAGGCAGGCAAATTACGTGAGATTCATGCAACATGTATTCAAGCATCTACTTCATCTAAGACTTTTTTAAAGTACTGGAGATAACAGTGAATGGAAGAGAGCCGATTTGGAAAGATCGGTAAAACATGTCTCGGTAATTACTATGACAGACCCCATGTTATAAATAGACCCATGCATGAGTGTGCTGTGAAGGCTCATCTACAAATAGGGAACTGAGAGCAGGTAACTGCCACCATATTTCCAGGACAGACACCCAGACAGAGATTTGACAATTGCCAGATGGTGCTCAAACCCTGTTTGCGAGAGTCCTCAGTCTTCCCAAGTGTCTCATTTTCATCGTTGGAGACCTGTCTCTCTATAGCCTTCTTCCTCTCTTTCATTGTCTTCCAGCGTGACTGAAGTGAGTCCAACCAGACTGTCTCCCGGGGGTCTTCGCCTGACATAAAACAAAAAAAAAGATGTTTCTCAAGTTTAGCTGAGAAGCCAGCCCAGGTTTTTCTCAATAAAGATGTGATCAGGCTGCAGTCCAAGGTGAGAAAACCATTCATATGCCCAGTGAGAACCTGAGGCTTGGGCTGGAAGGTACAGGCTGTGACCTAGGGAGTCTGGGGATCTGGATCAAAGACTCACCATGGACATGCAATGTAGTCAGCTTATGAAGCACACGTTGTAGCTCTCTGAAGGTGGGTCTGCGGGTAGCGAGGGGGATATCCCAAAGTCGGGGATCCCCCCGTTGCAGGGGTGCCCCATGGCCTCCGAAGAACAAGGACCGGCCAGAGCGGGGGGCACGCAGCAATATTGTCCCAGCCTCCCCCAGTGCCTCAGCCCAGCTTGGCCCTGCCAGCAGGTCACGAACATCCTAGGGAAGAGAGTAATTCAGCCCTGCGTATCTTCACTTGGTATTTTAAAATCTCCAATCAAAAAATGGCCCATAGATCATATGTAGGGAATGGGAGGTAGAAGATAACACAGAGAAGAATGAGGGGACTGAGATTGCTGGGGATCCATCCCTATTCTACCTTTGCCTCCCCAGAAATAATGAAGACTGTAAGAATATAGGAGTCATCCAACCATGTATAACATTTAATGAGAAGAGGGAAAGAGTGTGAACTAGGTGGACAACAGACCTAGGATGCCTGACTCACCTTACATAGTGTGACTTCATTGTAGCGCCTCAGGTTGGCTCCAGCAGAGCGAGAAGCCCCACCTCGGGCATCCCGAAGCCCCTGGGCTGTGCCCCGCTTGGCCCGCACTGTGTAGCGGTGAAAGGTTTTATGTACCACCACTTCTCTTCTATAGATAAACACAAACTCAGTACTGGAAACCAGCTGGTACTCCCAGGCTAAAGGGATCCAGTCCATCCTTACCCCAACACACTATCTTCTCTCACCCTTGGAAAATGGCACCAGCAAAGTGACCTGCTGCAGCCATGAGCACCACACAGCATCTGGGACCTCCGCTTTGCAGGGTCTGTAGCAACAGTTCTGGTTCTTCTGGGGGCACCTGGATGACAGAGGAACAGCACAAATATTATCTGTTGCATTCATTAAGAAGCCAAGTGCCAGTATTAAGTGCTTTCACATGCATTATCTTCATTTTATACAGTCACTCTGAGGCTTATCTCCATTTCACAAATAAGTAAATTTGAGGCTTGCAGAGGTAGTCAAGATCAAGTGGCAGGACCATAATTCAAACCTCGATAAGTCTGTTTCCAAATTTAATTCCATTACACTTGACCATTCTAAAATTGGGGCCAATCCAATCCAAGACTGGGCTGTCAAGTGTGATACTCACACCCAGCAGGAAGAAAGGGAAGAAGTGAGAAATGGAGTCAGCTAAGAGAATTAGGGTGAATGCACAAAAGTCTGGACCACAACAACCTGTGTTGTCACTTGCCTGGTGAGGGCCGAGGACACAGCGATAGGCATGAAGAAACTGCCCCTGGGCATTTTGGAAAAGAACACGATGCGGGTGGAACACTTGGGGTCTGATGAGCTTCTCCAACTCAGCCCTCTCCTCGTCCAGTATCTGTAAGTCCTCCTCACTGGCTGAGTCAGAGTCTTCTGATCCTGAGATGCTGGAAAGATCTCCTGAAAACAACATGAGATATATGACTTTGGTGCCTCATCTTTGACTTTCCCTAAAGCTCCTAAACAAGGGCCTTTCTCCACCCCCATGTCCTACTCCCACACAGGTCTCCCCCCAGTCATCACCTGTGCAGCTCTGCTTTTCAAAGTCCAGGGCAGAAAGGAAAGGCTTGTTCTTGAGACGCTGCTTTAGGTTAAACCGATGCCAGTCAAGCTTATAGTGTTCCCTCTGGTAGGAGGCAAGGAGGGAGGCAGACTGTAGAAGTATGCCCTAGCCTGGCATTCATAAAATACCCAAGACCAGTAGAACTCCAGTCAAGTAAGACTGGGTAACCCCAACTGCTTTAGTCAAAACATGGACCTTTACTAAAGACAAATCAAACGTCTACCTCTCCTCACTCACCATTATACTTTTGCTTCTGCCATTTAGCCCTGCACCTGGGCTTTTACCTGTTCCTGGTGGTTCTGGAAGGTTTGGTCACAGGTTGAACAAAGTAACTTCCCTGGAATATCCAGAGGACCCTGGAGTGGTTTTCTTTCTGGGCTTGCTTTCTCCCCTGGATCTAAATAAGGAGAGGGTAATTAGAGGTGGAAAGGAGCCCAAATCCACAGTACCTGGAATTATTTTCAGTGTCTGATACATAAAGAGGATGATATAAAAGAAAGAGAAGGCATGTCCTTGCTTTCAAGGAATTTAGTAATCATAAAACAAGTTACACAGTAATCGCTTCATACAATAAATATGCTTGTGGAAAGATGTATGGAAAATGAATATAGACAGAACATTGCATTTAAATTAACCAAAGGAATTGTTTAGAGGAATCCTATAGGAAACAATTTTTGGTAAGGTTAAAATTATTTTTAACTGCAAAAATCACTTACTGCAGACAATATTTCTAGTTTACATTTCCAATTACAGTGTGCAGTTTCTTTAAAAAAAAAAACAAAGGTTCAAGAAAAACAACCAGAGACAAACTAAAGTTGTACAAAACCAAATTAGTTGTTTTATATTCAGCAAGAAAGAATGATTTGACTGGAATCCTGTTAAACTTAGACTATTTCTAGAAATTTTGAAAAAAAATATAGGAATTTTGAAGAGTTTCTGCAGGCAGTGGCATTCCTGTGGCCAAGACATGAGCAATGGCAAGATACTTGTTTGGAGACAATTCGGAGGCCTGTGCTGGAAATAACCCAAAGATGGAATGAATTTAACGTAAATTTTATCCAGCAGAAAAAGATGTCAACAAGGGTTCCTAACCTGGGGAATACCGATAAGAATGTGTTCCTGGAGTGGCAATAAACTCCAAAGACCCCTGTCATGCTCCTCAATGTCCACCCCAAATCTTCCCGGATACCTGGACTCCTCAATAGCCACCCCAAATCTTCCCGGATACCTGGACTAGAAGTCGGCAAAGCTTGAGCCAGAGCCTCGCCGGGAGGGTGGCTCACCAGGCTCAGGCCCTGAAGGACCGGAGCATCCGCATTGAGGTCAAACAGAGAGACCGACGTAGGAACCTGGCCTGCAGCTGGAGCCGGAGACATGGCTAAGAATTACAAGCAGCTCCTGGAGCAGAAAGAGGGGAAGAAATTGTTTTCCCAAAGCAAGATTCTACTGCCCCGGCTCCCCCAGCTGCAAGGCTCCTCGGCCCCTCATCCTGGTACCAGGAATCAGCTCTGGATTTAATACGTGACACCAGGCAGCTTCCTCAAAACCACACTCTCTGACCACAAAGAATGAAACGGAGGAGCATTCAGCAACCAAATCGAGTTCAACAGAATTAAAATCACTGAAGTTCCCTAACCGACCGCTCCTCGTAACCGGCGCGATGAGCTCCAGCAATGACCAAAACGCGTGAACTAGGCCCCGACCTCAGAAGCTGCACCAAGGTTCTGGAGGAGCCGAGAGACACGAATAATATAGTTCCAAGCCCGGATTTCTGCAACACCACAACAATCTCGTCACTACGGAGCAGCAAGGAGGACAAACAGGGTCGCCCTCACTCAAGCCCCGCCCCACCTAGAGCACACTATTGGTGGTCTGACGGTCCGAGATCCGCCTTGAGCCTTTTAGTCCCGCCCCCGAAGCTGAGAACAGGCCGTCGTGTCTCCACCCACCCCATGCTCATTGGTCAAGCTGCCTGCGGTTGACAGTGAGTGGCAGTCGCCGGGCCTAGCGCTCTGGGTCGGGCCGAGCCCAGCGGAGCTGACCGAGCCACTGGAATCGCCCTGGTCACGGTTCCTGAGGTGAAACTCGAGGACAGTTATTGGACTCTCAGGGCCCGGGCCGCGCCTGGCCAGCTGTGGTGGCGGAGCCCTATGTGAGCTCACAGCGGGTAGCGGGGGAAGGGGCGCCGCAGGTGGGGAGGAGGCGCGCAGCCGGAATGTTTTGATAGCGGGGTCGCGCGGGCGGAGGCGCGCGCGGGCGGCGAGGCCGCGCGCGTGGTTGTCCGCTGTTGGGAGCCGAGCCCTTGGCCTGGGATCGGGCGACCCTGGGGTGCACTGGTCTCGGGTGGTAGCTGATAAGTGTGGGGTAGCATCCCAGACCACCTTGGGTATATTGTCTGTCGGAATGTCTCGATTCCTCCAACAACGCAGGAACTCCGGAGCCAAGGCCAAACCGGCCGGGGCTCCATGGCCCTTGGGTCCCCACTGACCCGGTGAGTGGTGAGTTCCTTGAAGGCTTGGTCAGCTTCTTTGGACCTAGGGCTCTCACTAAGCCAGGGAATCCCACCGGGGGCATGCTGGGTCGAGCTCTGTGACCCCAGGGGCTGCACTGACTTGGTGACTGTCATCTAGACCATGCCTGGTACCAGAGACCTAGGGGACCCATAATTCTCCCAGGACCTGGGTCTACACTGACCCAGTCAGGATTTCCCATCCAGGAGCTATGACTTCCTACTGGGCTTTTGATGCTCGGGAAGCAGGGGAAGGGGTTGACCAGAAAGGTCCTCTTCAGAATAGACTCTCTTCTTGGGTTTGGGGTTTGGAGGTGAGGCAATGAAGAAACAGTCTAGAGGAGCTGTCTGACCTGAGACCTGTACTGACTCCGTCTTCACAGATTCAGTAATCCACTTTTTGGGATCCTAGAGTTGGACAAGTGTCCCTGTATTGTATGACCAGAGGAAGTGTGCATAACCCTAGGCTAAGCTGCGTCTTCCCCACTGCAGCCTCCTTGCCTCATCCTTGGCTTCCTTTTGGTGGGCGTTGGGTAGGTGGGAGGGCTGGGTTTCTTTCTATCCCCACTCTTTGCGGCCTGACACCTTCTCCTCCAGCAGCTGCAGAGCCAGGGCTTCGAGGGCCAGAGTGAAGCAGCCACTGTCCATGGAGCTGGTAGGGCCATGTGCTTACCTCAAACTTTTGTTTACAGAGTGCTTCCAAACTGCTAGTCTTTTGGAGACAAGGGTTTCTCCAGGAGGGTAGGGGAGGACCCTTTCTCTCTACTAAAAAGGAGATGAAACAGCCCCCACAAAGGGGCAGAGTCTGGCTTCAGGCCAGGAAGGCCTCAGTAGACACTCAGTAAGGGCTCTGGGGGTGACTGACCTCAGTGGTCAGTTAAGGCCTCTCTAGCCCTGATCTTGCTGCACTCCTTGGGTTACTATTCCTATTCTGCCTTAGAGCCAAGAATAGTGGAGACCAAGCCCAAGGATTCTTTCTTATTATTTCTGGTCTAGTAGGCAGGACAGCAGACAAGCAGCACCAGGGTCTAAACCTGGGTCTCTTTCTCATTACTGGCAGGTGGACAAGGTGGACAGGGGCTGGTGGTGATGGCGCAGTTTGACACTGAATACCAGCGCCTAGAGGCCTCCTACAGTGATTCACCCCCAGGAGAGGAGGACCTGTTGGTGCACGTCCCTGAGGGTAGCAAGTGTGAGTTCTTGAAAATGACAGCCAGTGTTGGGGCCTGGGGGGAGAGTTGGAGGAACACTGAGGGAGCAAGGAGTTCACGTGTTTCTTCGGGGGTCTGACATCTCTGCTCCTGTGCCCACAGCACCTTGGCACCACATTGAAAACCTTGACCTCTTCTTCTCTCGAATATCCTTTGTGTCTCTTTGTTGGTGCTCTGGGACCTCTCTAAGCCAGGCCCCTGATGAGGTGGGATGGGTTTGACTCTAATCCCAAGAAGGGGGATGGAAATCTTTAGGCTGAAGAAAGCTGGGGAATAATGACCATCATGAATAATAATAGCCCACATTTATCAAGAGCTGTGTGCCGTTCACTTAATTTACAAGGAAACGTTTCAAGGGTGATCCTCCTTTTTGATGGGATGCTAATCATAAAAATTACTGTCTTTTGACTCATTTTTGTCAGCTCTGTGTTAAATGCTTTATATGCATTATCTCAGACCTAATAACCCTGAGACAGGTGCTATTATTTCCAATATATCACTAAAGAAAAGCTTAGAGAGGTTAAGTAACTTGGCCAAAGTCATACTGCTAGAGTCATAGAGCCAGACTTAAGCTCAGGTATGTGACACTAAAGTCTGTGCTCTTAATTGCTATCTCTACTGACCACTTTTTCTTAACAATTACACGTTTATAATCTACACCAGAAGAATGGCTTCACTTGTATGCTCATTGGGGAGGTCTTCGAGCTCATGTAAGTTTAAGAAGGGATAGATGATGTGGTAAAGGAATGCATTTCAGTCTTTCTCCCCCGTAAGCTTAACCATGGCTTATGCAACTCAGTCTAGGCTCAAAACTGCAAACAGTTCAGGGACTGGGTGTGTGGCATCAAAGTTTATAGCCTCTCCCTAATAGAAAAACAATAGTCCTATCTCTTCATTAATCTCTTACTAGGAAAAGATAGTCCTAATCTCTTCCACAAGAGAACTCAGACTTGATCATTTCATCAGAGGTCCAATGAAATGGGTGTAGTTCAGCCAGGAGGTCTCAGACATGCAAGCCACTTAACTTGAGAAAAGTGTCTCTGTTCTGCCATGGTTGCCTTTTGGAGGCCGGTTGCTGGACAGAGAGCCTTCTAAGATGAAAGAGCCATATCATATGGCCTTGCCAAGGAGTAAGGGATTGGGAATCCCTCCTCAGAAAGAAAAGAGTTCAAGTCCCTAAAGGGCTTCTAACTACCATCTCAAAAGGCAGTCAGGGACTAGGGACGATATCCACAACGGTAACACCTTTAAAAGATACGGGTGAGTGGTGGCAGAGATTATTGTGAGGTGAGGAAAGCAAGCTGATTCTGTGGTGCCTTCAGCTAAGAGCAAAAAGTAGGAGCTGGTTTGGGCTGAGCAGTAGAGAGACCCCCACTGCGAGTTCTCCAGCCCCTTGGTTTCCCCAGAGGCCTCTTCCCAGTCTTGTTCCAAACTCCATTTTCCTGCGTTATTTCACTGGGGCCTCTCTTGACTCTCAGACTGTGCACCCTCTTCCCAACTCCCCAGGCAGTTCCTCTTTGTGGTTGCCTTCACTACCTTCCTGGTTAGCTGTGTGGACTATGACATCCTATTTGCCAACAAGATGGTGAACCACAGTCTTCATCCTACGGAGCCCGTCAAGGTCACTCTGCCAGATGCCTTTTTGCCTGCCCAAGTCTGTAGTGCCAGGTAAGGGGTGCAGGCCAGAGGGCCCGTAGCCTGTCAATCCACTAACACATGAGGATCAGAGTAGAATGTGAGGCAGTAACACATTCCCTAGAACAGACTCAGGCTCAGCCTTGCCAAATTCTTCAGGATAACAGCATGTTTGCCAAGTTCCTCAAAGACCATCTTTTCTACCCTTCTTTTTCCCCACCAGGATTCAGGAAAATGGCTCCCTTATCACCATCCTGGTCGTTGCTGGTGTTTTCTGGGTCCACCGGCTTATCAAGTTCATCTATAACATTTGCTGCTACTGGGAGATCCACTCCTTCTACCTGCATGCTCTACGCATCCCCATGGTGAGATGGGAAGTTAAGCACCACAGCCCAAGACATTTTCTGCAGCTTGGGAAGGGTGGGGTGTATTCCTGGGGACCAGGTGTCCTCACCCATCATTGGCAGTTCAGGGAGCATCTACCTAAAATCTACTCAGCTAAGCAAAGGATCCCTGAGCCCCACAGTTAATGCAGGCTGAGGGGCCAAGACAACAACCCCACCTTCCATACCTTGTCTCTTCCCCACCCTGCAGTCTGCCCTTCCATACTGCACATGGCAGGAAGTGCAAGCCCGGATTGTGCAGACCCAGAAAGAGCACCAGATCTGCATCCACAAGCGTGAGCTGACAGAGCTGGACATCTACCACCGCATCCTCCGCTTCCAGAACTACATGGTGGCACTGGTTAACAAATCCCTCCTGCCTCTGCGTTTCCGCCTGCCTGGCCTCGGGGAGGCCGTCTTCTTCACCCGCGGCCTCAAGTACAACTTTGAACTGATCCTCTTCTGGGGACCTGGCTCTCTGTTTCTCAATGAATGGAGCCTCAAGACTGAGTACAAACGTGGGGGGCAACGGCTAGAGCTAGCCCAGCGCCTCAGTAACCGCATCCTGTGGATTGGCATTGCCAACTTCCTGCTGTGCCCCCTCATCCTCATCTGGCAGATCCTCTATGCCTTCTTCAGCTACGCGGAGGTGCTGAAGCGGGAGCCAGGGGCCCTGGGAGCACGTTGCTGGTCACTGTATGGCCGCTGCTACCTCCGCCACTTCAATGAGCTGGAGCACGAGCTACAGTCCCGCCTCAGCCGTGGCTATAAGCCAGCCTCCAAGTACATGAATTGCTTCTTGTCACCTCTGCTGACTCTGCTGGCCAAGAATGGCGCCTTCTTTGCTGGCTCCATCCTGGCTGTGCTTATTGCCCTCACCATCTACGACGAAGATGTATTGGCTGTGGAGCACGTCCTCACCACAGTCACACTGCTGGGGGTCACCGTGACTGTGTGCAGGTGGGCCAGGGCAGCAGGTGGGAGTAAGCAAACTAGCATTCCTGGGAAAGGTTTATATCTCACTATGACCATGATCCTACTAGGTCCTTTATCCCGGACCAGCACATGGTGTTCTGCCCTGAGCAGCTGCTCCGCGTGATCCTTGCTCACATCCACTACATGCCTGACCACTGGCAGGGTAATGCCCACCGCTCACAGACCCGGGACGAGTTTGCCCAGCTCTTCCAGTACAAGGCAGTGAGTGGAGTTGGAGTTAGGGCCTGCTAGAGATTGGCTGATAGGTTGGTGGTGAGGGCTGGGCTCCCTCCTGCTGTCTTGTGACCTTGGTCCCCTCCCTTTTAGGTGTTCATCTTGGAGGAGTTATTGAGCCCCATTGTCACACCCCTCATCCTCATCTTCTGCCTGCGCCCACGGGCCCTGGAGATTATAGACTTCTTCCGCAATTTCACTGTGGAGGTCGTTGGTGTTGGAGATACCTGTTCCTTTGCTCAGATGGATGTTCGCCAGCATGGGCATCCCCAGGTACTGGGAGAGGAGGGAGCCAGGTACCAGAGGCGATGTTGGCACACACAGTGTCTTCAGGCAAACTGCAAAGAGGCACTCCTTCTAAGCCAATGAATCCCAGAAGGCAGCCCTGCCTCAGGGCAACCCTGTGCAGGGTACACACACTGCTTGGTAAACAGGAGCCTGGGTTGGATTTTAGCCCTAAATTTGCTCCCTAGGCTAAGCTTCCTTGAGAAACACACAAAGCAATTAGCTCTCCATGTGGCCACTCCTGGGTGGGCACTGGGGCCCCTGGATAAGATACAGCAGTGCATTGTGGTCTCTGTCCTCCAGTGGCAAGGCTTCCCCCAAGCAGGAAAGGTACAAAAGGGTTTCCTCTAAGAGGACAGTCCTCCTCACTACAGCCTCCCTTGTGCAGTGGTTATCCGGTGGGCAGACAGAGGCCTCGGTGTACCAGCAAGCCGAGGATGGGAAGACAGAGTTGTCACTCATGCACTTTGCCATCACCAACCCTGGCTGGCAGCCACCACGTGAGAGCACAGCCTTCCTCGGCTTCCTCAAGGAGCAGGTTCAGCGGGACGGAGCAGCTGCTGGCCTTGCCCCAGGGGGTCTGCTCCCTGAGAATGCCCTCTTTACATCCATCCAGTCCTTACAGTCTGAGTCTGAGGTGTGTTTCTGGGGACTGGGAGACAATGTGCAGAGTGGCTCCAGGAGCTGGGAGTGGAGGACTGGGCATGGGGTTGAAGGGCCTACCCTGTTGGTTCCCTTCTGTCTGTCCCATTGGATCCTGATGTGCAGGATACTAGAGGACCCAGAGGCCTCCCTCCTGCCCTAAGTATTCTACCCACCTCTTTCCTTCATAGCCACTGAGCCTTATTGCAAATGTAGTAGCTGGCTCATCCTGCCGGGGCCCCCCACTGCCCAGAGACCTGCAGGGATCCAGGCACAGAGCTGAGGTCGCCTCTGCCCTGCGCTCCTTCTCCCCTCTGCAACCTGGTCAGGTTCCCACAGGCCGGGCTCCCAGCAATATGACAGGCTCTGGGTAAGTAGAGGTGGCCAAGAGGAGAGAGCACAGCACTGGCCCCCAGCAACATGTGTGGGTCTCAGAACTGTTGCTCACTGCTCTCTCTGTGCTGGGAGGGACAGGATGGATGCCAGGACAGCCAGCTCCGGGAGCAGCGTGTGGGAAGGTCAGCTGCAGAGCCTAGTGCTGTCGGAATATGCATCCACCGAGATGAGCCTGCACGCCCTCTATATGCACCAGGTGAGTGGACAGAAGGGGCAAGGCCAATGGAACCAATATGACAGCTGAAAAGGAGAGGGTTTTACATGTGGAAAAGCAAGACATGGGTTCAAATCCCTTCTATGCCATTTATCTGCTCTGCAATCTCCATTCACACATAAACCTTCTTACTGCCTTTTCAGGCAAGCTTATTCTCATCCAGAGCCTGAACCCAGTTGTGGTTTCCCCTGCCAAGAATCTACTTTTCTGAGATACCCACATGGCTCCCTCCTTCTCCTTATTCAGTCTCTGCTCTTACCCTTTCCATGAGACTACCCTGACTAAAAGCCTCCCTTGCCCACCCTCCCGAATCATCCTGCTCGATTTTTCTCCACACATTTAGCACGATCTGACATACTGTTTTTTTTTCCTCATTTATTTGTTGTCTATTATCCTCATCCTCTACCCTGTCCCAGTATATAAGCCCCACAAAGACTGGAATTTTTGTCTATTCTGTTTACTGCTATATCCCCAGCACCTAAAAGAGTGCTTGCACGTAGATCCACAACCAATTTGTTCTTGAATTAAATGACTAGGGAAAATGAGTGTCATTAACACCCATGCACAGGCTCGTTCCAGGGATCTGCTGAATAGTTAACTTATAAAATATCATATATATATATTACTCAGCATTAACATGGTAGGTACTCTGGGTCAGTGATTCTAGGTGACGTGGTATAAATGGGAACTGGCCAATACCATGGTAGGGGCGGCTGTCTCAGACACATATCTTTCTGTCCCCAACTAATAAGCCCCCCACTTCTCAGCTCCACAAGCAGCAGGCCCAGGCCGAACCTGAGCGGCATGTGTGGCACCGCCGGGAGAGTGATGAGAGTGGGGAGAGTGCCCCTGAAGAAGGAGGAGAGGGCGCCCGGGCCCCCCAACCTATCCCCCGCTCTGCCAGCTATCCCTGTGCTGCACCGCGGCCTGGAGCACCTGAGACCACTACCCTGCAGGGGGGCTTCCAGAGGCGCTATGGGGGCATCACAGGTATCCAGTACGGGTACAGGAGGATATGGAGCCTTCTGGGAAGGGTGGGTCTTGGGCATCTAGGGGAAGAAAGAGGTCAGAGGGACCAGGCCCAAGGAGCCTAACCCATCTCCCCGCCAACCCCAGAACTCTTCCAATTCCTGATTGTATTCATTCTAAGAAAATGTTTATGTGTGTCTTTAGATCCTGGCACAATGCCCCGGGCTCCCTCTCACTTCTCTCGGCTGCCCCTTGGAGGGTGGGCTGAAGATGGACAATCAGCATCAAGGCACCCAGAGCCCGTGCCTGAGGAGGGCTCAGAGGATGAGCTTCCCCCTCAGGTGCACAAGGTAAGGGCTCCAGGACCCAGAACAACTTCACTAGTAACCTCCAGGCTGAGGTCAGCTGCTCATGTGAAGGAAGGGAGGCCTTTTGCACAGAGATACTGCACCCTCCCCTCATCTACTCTGAAATCCAGGGCTTGATTTTTCTTTTGCTTACCTCCCCAAGAATCAGACTTGCCCTTTTCTTTATCTCCAAGCTTCTGTTGGTTAAGCAAATGGCTGAAGAGTACCTCTACTACTAGCCCTTTTCTCTCCACAGGTATAGACAAGGCCAAGGAAGGTCCCTGTGCCCCAGGATGGAGGCTACTGTTGCCCTGCCATCCCATCCACCTGCCATGGAGAGCTCCTCAGAGGGTTGCCTGGCTCCACATGTGTGGTCTTTGTGTGTCCGTGCCTGGCCAAGGGAGATGCCAACACTGGGCTCGCCACAGCCCCAGGAGAGAAATTGGGGGCCTAGGAACCAGGGCACACAGGACTCTAGCCTCATCTCTAGGACCCCCCTTGGCTCAAGAGTGTGGTGCTAGAAACTGATCCCCAGCCCAGCCCCAGTACTGCCACCTTTGCACCCACCCCTGCAAATCTCCACCACAGAAGCTGCCAAGCAGGGAGAACCTGTGCCAACTATGGAGTGGGGAGGTTGGGCCTGGACCCTCACCCTCTGCAGCCTCCTCCCCCTCCCCTGAACCAGATGAGCAGCTCAGGCTGTGGCCCTTACCTCACCCCCAGTTCTCTCCCAGTGCTGCAGCCTGCTCACCTCTCCCTTGCTTCCTGCACATCACTGGCATGTGTGCCACTCACTCCCATTCTGTTCGCTTGCTACCCTTCCATTGAGCTTTTGCTTTGTATTGGTGTGGAAACCCCAGCTCCTAGCTCCCCTCTTGCTATCTTTTGACCCTAAGAAGGAAGGATTCTGAATTGCAGGAGCAAAATGGACATTCTTTGCTGCCCTTTCCAACTTTAGGATGGGCCCTGGGAGACTGAGGCCTTCCTGGCCCCTATTGCTGCTTATTGTACCCCACCACCCACACATGGAACGGATAGAGCTGGAGTGTGCCCTCGGTTGTCTACCTCCCAGTGAGAGAGCTCTGGTCTGCTTTCCACTGTCCCCTAGAGGGGGATGGAGGGGCAGCAGGACAGCTTCACCCAAGGCTTTGAGCTGCTGCATTGCATGCTGGGACCCAGCTCCTACCCTCTGCCCCACTTCTCACCCGGCTCTGGTCCGCTGCTGGTGAGTGGTGGACTTAACTGCCCGAACTCCAAACGGGGTGTGGACTGTGTACAGCTTGATAGCCCTTAATAAAGAAGGGACTTTGACCAGGTTGTGGCTTGTCTCTCATGGCTAGGGTTCTCGGAACAAGTGGGGCAGGGTGCGTAGCAAACCCCCCAGGTGGCTGGGGACAGGACCAGGCTCTGTAGGGAAATGGACCTTCTGCCATCACTCGGTACACCGAGCCAGCCGGCCAACAGAAGGGCGATTTCCTGCCCTTAGTTTCCAGGCGGTCAGTGTCTCCAAACCACTGTGAGATTGGATTTCCCGCTGTGAGCACGTGACCAAGCTGACTGCACCAGTCTATTTTGCCTTCCCCGCGTGCAACATTTCGCCCGCCCCTCCGAGAAATCTGGCCAATGAAGTCCTGAGTAGATAGGCTGAGGGCGGCCCCAGCAGGCCGGGCTGCAGCAGAGGACAGCAGTTTGCTCTTGGCATTCCTGTGGGCCCGGATTTGGCAGGAGGGTCCCGGGAAGGGACCGAGGAGCGCAAAGGCAGAGACGGCGTACGTGTCGTGCGTGAGTGCGTGGCAGCGGCGCGTGCGCGAAGCCAGCGGGCAGGGTGGCCGGGTCCACGTGCGTCCATGCCCGCCACTCCCACGGTTTAGAGCCCACGGCTCCATGACCCGAGACACCCTGGCATCCGCACCCTGCCCCGAGCGGCCGGCCCCCTTCTCTCGTCGCTCAGTTCCCGCAGCCTCGGCCGGCAGGCACGCATTGCCATGGTGACTGTAGGCAACTACTGCGAGGCCGAAGGGCCCGTGGGTCCGGCCTGGGTGAAGGGTGGCCCGAGTCCCTGCTTCTTCTTCACACTTGTGCCCTCAACGCTGATGGCACTGGGGGCTCTGGCCTTGGTGCTGGCCCTTCCCTGCAAGCGTCGGGAGCGACAGGCTGGTACCGAGGCGCTGAGTTGGGGGGCCGGCCCTTGTATTGCACCGTACGGGCTGCAGATGCTTCTGGCCATACTTCAGGTGGCCCTACCCCTGGCTGGCCTGGTTGGCCGGGTGAGCACTGCCAGAGCGACCCCTCTGCCAGGCTACCTACTGCTGGCTTTCATACTGGGGACTCTGGCCAGTGCCTGTGGCCTAGCGCTGCTTGTGGTGGAACGGCACCAGGCACAGCAGAAGCTAGCAGTGGGCATCTGGATCAAGTTCAGGCACAGCCCGGGTCTCCTGCTCCTCTGGACTGCGGCGTTTGCAGCGGAGAACTTGGCTCTGGTTTCTTGGAACAGCCCACAATGGTGGTGGGCAAGGGCCGACTTGGGCCAGCAGGTAAGGGACCGTGTGCGGAGAGGGGAAACACTGGTGGCAGGGGCTTGGAAGAAGGATGGTGTGTCACGTCACACTGGCTCCAGGCTTTGGGATGCTTCTAAGAAAGGGAAGATGGGAGGGGCCAACTGGCGCCTGGGAGCTGATAGCCAGCTGGTGGGGCTGTCTGTGCTGAGTCACTGTAGATTTTTTTTTAAAGCCTGTTAGAAGGCGGGGCCCCTGAGGAGTACCTGGGTGTGCTCCCTACACCAGTCTCCAGCCTGTTAGGAATAATAACGATGGCTTTCTGGCCCTCACTGATGCTCTCCCCATTTCATTCTAGGTTCAGTTTAGCCTGTGGGTGCTGCGCTATGTGGTCTCTGGAGGGCTTTTTGTCCTGGGGCTCTGGGCCCCTGGTCTTAGGCCCCAGTCCCACACCTTACAGGTCAATGGAGAGGATCAAGATGTAGAATGGAGCCAGGTACACCTCAATTTCTGAGCCTTAGGGTCTGTCTTAATTTCATTACCAATCATTTTTTCCTACCATACTTGTTACATAAATCTCCGTTTGTGCCCTGTTAGCCTTTCTGACCTCATCAGGGGTCACTTGTGGGACAGAGACACCTGGGAGCTGTAATCCCATAGTTTCCCTAGAGGGTTTCTGGCTAGGGCACTTCTTTTTTATTTCTGAGCTCCCCTCCTGTGTGTTTCACCATCCTAGGTTCAGTCAACAGAGAGGCCACCTCAGTCCACCTGGCGAGACCTAGGCAGGAAGCTCCGCCTGTTGAGTGGCTACCTGTGGCCTCGGGGGAGCCCAGCTCTACAGCTTGTTGTGCTCATCTGCCTGGGGCTTATGGGGTTGGACCGGGGACTGAATGTGTTGGTCCCCATCTTCTATAGAGACATAGGTGAGGAGGAGGAGTGCCAGCTGAGTGCTCTTATCCTTCATTGGCCTGGTGGGAGCGGGGCCCTAACCTAGGGAAGTGGGACAGAGTTGGGAGCTGTGTGGTCAGAAAGGGGCTGTGGCTGGTACCTGGGACATTATCTCTTGAGGACCCGGTTTCACCTAGGGGGTCATATGGGCTCTGACTTTTCTCCCTAGTGAACCTGCTGACTGAGAAGGCACCCTGGAGCCCCCTGGCCTGGACCGTTACCACCTATGTCTTCCTCAAATTCCTCCAGGGGGGTGGCACTGGCAGTACAGGTAGGAAGGACCCTGCTCTCCCGCTTGTTGTTATAGACCCCTCCCCCTCCTCCTGTTAGCCCCTCCCGCAAGCATTCCTCCCCCAGGCCTCTTGGTGCTCTCAGACCTTTCACGTCTTGGTGCTTGGCTGGTGTCCTTGGCTCTTAAGCCCTATTGAAACCTCCCCTGGCTCTCCGCAGGCTTTGTGAGCAACCTGCGCACATTTCTATGGATCAGGGTGCAGCAGTTCACATCGCGCCGTGTGGAGCTGCGCCTCTTCTCCCACCTACATGAGCTCTCACTGCGCTGGCACCTGGGGCGCCGCACAGGGGAGGTGCTGAGGATCGTGGACCGGGGCACGTCCAGTGTTACAGGGCTGCTCAGGTGTGAAGCCTCTCGAAAGGGAGTGTGGGAGGATGGGGCTGGAGAAGCAGGAGTAGAGGAGCTGTCAGGGGAACAGACCCAGCCTGAGAAGCTGCCCCTCAGTCATCTTTTTATTTTTAATTATCAGATTAACGTACCCATGCTATCTTTATAACTCAAAGTAGACAGAGAGCAAATCTCATAAATTCTACTTCTCCAGAGGTTCCCACTCCATTTAATATGATGAGTTTTGCTTTTTTGTATTTTTATCTGTGTGTGTGCAGACTCTCAGAACTAATGTGGTAGTGTAGAGATTTTTTTAAAACAAATGATATCATTGTTAACCATTTGATCAATAAATATGAGAGATGCCCTCTCAAAAAACAAAAAAAAACAAATGGTATCATGACATAGGTGTCATTCTTAGAGTTGTTTTATTCGCAAAATGTTCTGGAGATATATAGTCATCGTGTATGACACTCTTTCTCACTCTTTATAGCTGATCCAGAGCATGCTGCATTTCGGCATGATACGGCTTATATAGCCATCATCTCTCGAGGGACACTTAGCTTGAGTCTAGTCTGTTGCTGCTGAAAACAAAACACTACACTGAAATACCTAGAGGCAGAGTTGCTAGCTTCAGGCCCTAAACTTTTCTCTGTTGCTGGCTTGCCCTCCTAGCTACCTGGTGTTCAATATCATCCCCACACTGGCTGACATTGTCATTGGCATCATCTACTTCAGCATGTTCTTCAATGCCTGGTTTGGCCTCATTGTGTTCCTGTGCATGAGTCTTTACCTTGGTGAGTGCTACTGGGTGAAACCATCTCCCTGAACTGTCCAGGGACACTCTTGGGCATGAGCCCTGCTCCCACTCAGGTGACTCAGCTTTAGAAGGCTGCATGTCAGTAGACTTGAATAGGCTCCTGCTTCTCCCCAACACAATGGGTGGGGCTCCTCCTCTGACAGGGACCCTTAGCTGCACCTGGATGGAAGGCTGGGGAAGAGCATCCTGGCCACAGTAGGTGCCCACTGTGAATGTGAGTCAAGGAGAAACCACATTTATTAACAAGATGCAGTTTGCCTTCATTTGTCCACCAAAATCATTTTCACACACAAGGCTTTATGCAGCCTACAATGATGTCTTGGGCATAGCCCCTTCCATCAGGTAGCTTAGGGCTCTCTCCCTTTGGAATCTGGGTTGCTGGGCTATAGCACAGGGTCAATGTGTGTGTGGCAGGTAGCAGACATTCACGTGTGGTCTCTGCTGTTGGGGGTAATGTCTTGATCACTTCTCCCTGCCCCTCCTCCTCCTCCTGTCATCCTCCAGCCCTGACCATTGTGGTCACGGAGTGGAGAACGAAATTTCGACGTGCCATGAACACACAGGAGAATGCTACCCGGGCACGAGCTGTGGACTCTTTGCTAAACTTTGAGACGGTAATGAGAGCCTTGGTGGCAGTGGTGGGAGGCACAGAGGTATGGAGGAGTGTGCCTGGGACCACTGGGGCTGACCCTGAAGAGAAGCTGGGGGAGAGGGGATAAGGTATGCTGTTTAAAATTAGGAAGGAGGGATTGGGAATGTGGAGGAAACAATCCAGGGCTGAATGCTACAGCCAGGCTGGACAATGGTGGTTTGAATTCACCAGGTGAAGTATTACAACGCAGAGCGTTATGAAGTAGACCGCTACCAAGATGCCATCATTAAGTATCAGGTGAGGATGCTAGTTTTAGTCCTGCTGAGAGTAATGTCCTGGCCTTGCAGAATTGCCAGAGCCAAGAGGATTGGCTGTGAGGTTGAAGGTGCCTGGGCCCAAGTTTTGATTTGATGACAGTGTGCATGTGACATTTTTCCCTCCCATATTATTGCCTCAGGATTTGGAGTGGAAGTCAAGTGCTTCACTGGTTTTACTAAATCAGACACAGAACCTGGTGATTGGACTTGGGCTCCTTGCTGGCTCCCTGCTTTGTGCATACTTTGTCAGTGAGCAGAAGCTACAGGTGAGGAAATTGTTCTGAGGATGGGGTAGAGGGCCCAAGGCCTATGTCTGGGCCACCAGGCTCCTGAGTAGGAAGTGGGCAGTGTGACAGTCCACAGGCTTTCTCTGACTTGGTCCTCTTCCCTGGGTCTCCACAGGTTGGAGATTTTGTGCTGTTTGGCACCTACATCATCCAGCTATACATGCCCCTCAACTGGTTTGGTACCTACTACAGGTAATCATATCCCTGGCCCTCCTCCTCCTGTCACCCTCCAGTGCTGACCACTGTAGTCACTTACTCTGGTAGTTTGTGACCTGTCCAGGGTGCACCCTTATTTCCCCAGCATCTCAAAAGAGCCCCAGCCAGCACTCTTTTTGCAGGATGATCCAGACCAACTTTATTGACATGGAGAACATGTTTGACCTGCTGAAGGAGGAGACGGAAGTGAGTGAAGGGAAAGGAGGGAGGTGGGGAACAGGAGCCTGCATGGGTTTCTTTGTGCATGGAGGATACCAGGCATGTAATGACAGCATGCATGCGTGTGTGGCACTCTCCCAGGTGAAGGACCTTCCTGGAGCAGGGCCCCTTCACTTTCAGAGGGGCCGGATTGAGTTTGAGAATGTGCACTTCAGCTATGCCGATGGGTAAGCCCTCCTTATTTTGCCGCACCCCACTCCTCACTCCAGCCTGTCCCCTTTCCCATTATCCCTTTACGCACTGCCTTCCTGCCCTTCATCCCTGCTTCTCAGTCTGCCACTGCCTGGGAAGAGCCTGAGCAGGGGAGGGCAGGGCCCAGGAGAAACTCTGGTGATGGAAGGCAACACTGGAGAGCAGCAGGCTTGGTGACCATTCTCTTCCATGCAGGAGGGAGACCCTGCAGGATGTGTCCTTCACTGTGATGCCTGGACAGACACTGGCCCTGGTGAGAGCAGACCCAGCCACTTGGCCCAGACTTCTGAGCTTCCCTTATTCTGGTGCCCATGGTAGTCTGTGACCTAGGCTGTGGAGTCAGAGAACCTTGTCATGATGGGTCACAGGATTGATGGGATTGAATGTAGCAGCCTCCATAGACATTGGTGGCCTCTTGGAGAGAAAGCCAATAGGCCTAAGAATGTTTCTGTTTCCACTGCAACAGGTGGGCCCATCTGGGGCAGGGAAGAGCACAATTTTGCGCCTGCTTTTTCGCTTCTATGATATTAGCTCTGGCTGCATCCGAATAGATGGGCAGGACATTTCACAGGTAAGTTTGTTTGGAGGGAGACTATAATTTAGGTGCTTGTGTGTGGAAGAATAGCAGGTGATGCCATCTCAGGTAACTGAGAGGAGATGTTACCCCTGCAAAAAGCAGAAGCAGGAGACCTCAGCCTTTGTGGCACCATAGAACCTCCACAAGTAAAGTAGTCACAACAGTGATTTGTGTGTTGCTGCACAAGCTATGAAGTTCTGCGATGATCTAGGAAAGCAGGGAGAGAAAGCATATTTTCTCTTTGTAGATGAGAAAACAGACTCAGGGAGGTTGAGTGATTTGCCTATGCAGCTATGATTTGGGGGTAGTGGTGACAAGATTCTTCTCCAGGGCCTTTCATCCCATGACTTCTGGCCAGCCCGTCCTACCTCCCAGGCCTGGGCGCAGGGTGGCGGTTCTCAGGCCAGGGCACATGGTCTTTTGGTCCCAGGTAACCCAGATCTCCCTCCGGTCTCACATTGGAGTTGTACCCCAGGACACAGTCCTCTTCAATGACACCATCGCCAACAATATCCGCTATGGCCGCATTACAGCAGGGAATGATGAGGTGGAGGCTGCAGCTCAGGCCTCAGGCATCCATGATGCCATTATGGCCTTTCCTGAAGGTGAGCCTCCCCTGCAGAGTCCCTCCCCCACCCAGCTTAGTCCTGCTACTCCCTCTGACCTTGGTTCCATCCCTTCCTTGTCCATCTGGTCACAGAAACCACGTGTATATTATGTGTGACTTGAGGGAGGTGGGCAATATCCACAGGGTATGAGACGCAGGTGGGCGAGCGGGGACTGAAGCTGAGTGGTGGAGAGAAGCAGCGTGTTGCCATTGCTCGCACCATTCTTAAGGCTCCAGACATCATTCTGCTCGATGAGGTGAGGACTGTGGGCAGCTTGCTCCCCTTTTTCCTCCCCTGCCTATGCCCAAGCCATTCCTGCCATCTACGATAGGTACCATGAATCCATGTTTCATAAAAATGCCTTTCAGTCCTCAAGTGCAAACAAGGTTCCTTCTGATTCCTAAGGCCTCAGCTAGTGGCTTGCATCCTCCTTCTACTGGGGTTTTGGGGTGACAGGGGCAGTTTCACCCAGACCCTCTCCGTAGGCAACATCAGCACTGGATACAACTAATGAGAGGGCCATCCAGGCTTCTCTGGCCAAAGTCTGCGCCAACCGCACCACCATGGTGGTGGCACACAGGTACAGGACTGGGGTAGCAGGCGGCGTGACCCACTTTCGGTGGTGTGGTGGGTAAGTGATCTCTGCCCTCTTAGGCTCTCAACTATCGTGAATGCTGATCAGATCCTTGTCATCAAGGATGGCCACATTGTGGAGAGAGGACGGTAAGGGATGCAGCAGGATGATCAGGGCAGGGCCTCTGAATTTGGCGCCCCTGGAAAAGGTGGTGAAATCCCAGGGGTTTGGGGGAGGCATCTCCCTCACCAATCCCTATGTAATCTCTGTGAGCTGGAGGCAAGGACCCTTGGGGTGAGACTGGCAACAGGGACTTGCTTTCTCCCCCTTGCCCTAGGCACGAGGCTCTACTGTCCCAAGGAGGGGTTTATGCTGATATGTGGCAGCTGCAGCAGCAGGGTCAGGAAGAATCCTCCGAAGACACAAAACCCCAAACTGAGGCATGTTGATAAAAGTTGTGGCCACTTCTCTCTGAAAGGATAACTCAGGGGAGTAAGATGTATCCCTCTTCCCTGGCATATTTCATCCTGGTCTTGGAGTATGGTGCTAGCTAAAGGGAGGGAGACCTTACAGAAAAGCACTTTTTGGGGAAATAAAAATGTGGACTGTGCTAGCATCACTGTGGCTTTGTGGTGTGGGGTGCTGCAAGGGGCTGCCAGCCTTAGGTTAGGTGAGCACTCTTGACAGGATTCTTCTGGTTTTGGTGGGAGAGGAGAAAGAAACACACCATTTGGATGTCTTCTTGACTGCCAAGATCATTTATTCATTACAGGCCCCTTCCTGCCCCCAACACAGGAGGGCAGCCCCAGTATAAGAAGGATGACACAATGCAGGGGTCTTAGCTGAGCCTCGTCAACATCCCCCAGGGCCCAACAGGGAACAGTTGCTAGCTGCTCTCTCCCATGCAGCTGGAGAGGCTGCAGGGCCTTCTGTAGGCTCAGCTCTGTAAGCTGCTTCTCCTTATGCTCTCTGGAGGCGGCTTGCATGTCACTCCTCCACGTCTTCACTCCAGGCTGGTCCCAGCCTCCTCTCCCTGTGTATTCTAAGGGTATGAGGGCCACAGTCCTTCTCAGCTGAGCCTCCCTCTCCAAGCCCGAGGCCCTAGCACAGGCTGCAGTTGGACAGCTTCAAGCTGCGGCTTTGGGCCTGGAGCAAGGAGAGGGTAAGAATGGGAAGACGGGGTGCAATGTCAAAGAAATGAGGGACACTTCTCACTTTCAAGTTCCACATGGGTGGATTCATACTGAAACAAAAGGACAGCCACCATTCCACAGCTCTCTGCACTCTGACGAACCATCTCTCCAAACTCCTTAATTCCTCCCAGTGCAGGACCCCATCTCTACCCAGTCCTCATACCTGCTGCCGTTGGTATTCGGCCTCACTGGCTGATAGTGCTTGTGCTAAAGCTAGGTCTTCTTCCTCCTGAGAACTGGGAGGGAGGAAAGCTTAAGTTGGATGACAAGAATATCTAAAATGTGAGCATCACTATGCTGCCGAGTACTTGAAGTATTATCTAAATATTCATACAGCCCCACAGGATAGGTATTAGTATTGTCTCATTTTTGTGCAGGAAATTAAGAACTTAATGGGTTAAAGAGCTTGCCAAAGGTCATATAGTTAATAAGCTTAATTTTGAGCCTAGATTCCTAACTGTTATCCTATTGGGTCAGAGTGGTCCCACTGACCTCCCACCATACCACGCCTTTGCCCACATCCCGCCTCTTTCACCATAAAGTAGGTACTTTGGGGCCTGGGGTTTGTTCTCTGCCAGGGACAGTTCCAGGGCACGTTGCAGAGCCTCATCCTCACTCTGCAAAAGGAAAAAGAGACCAGTTTCCTTGGACTTTACTCCCTGTATGGATTTACGGCTGTCCATGCAACCTCTGTCCAACTCACCAAGCCAGTCTGCAAAGCAATTACTGGAGGGGCTGTCCAGGACGGAGACTGGGTTGTGGTTCTAGGCAGACATTCAAGAAACTGAGGTTAGGAATGCAAAAGGCAAAATGGGAGAGGAGAAATGGGCAGGCCTACCTGCTAGGAGAGGTAGATGAAGGCAAGGTCCTACTTGGGCTGAGGACAGTGCTTGCAGAAGCCAGACCCTGTGCTCTGGAGATGGTAGCAAGTCTGTAGGGAAGAGACACTGTTGGCATGCCTCCAAGAAAAATCAACTTGCATGCTCCTCCCAGGCCTTACCCAGGAAGCCAGGAGGGGACTTCCTGAGTAAGGCCTCCAGAAGTCTCCAAATAGTCTGAAAAAATATATAGTTGTAAAGGACTCTAAAAGACTCCCCTAGCCAAAGGGGGCAGGGTTGAAGCTTCCCAATTTGTAAATAATAGAGGCTAAATCAGTTCCAAAAGTATGGGTTGGTTTCAAAGGTAAATACAGGACAGTTGGCAGTTACCCTGCGCGGCTGTTTGAGTGCCCCTCCCCAGAGCAATCATGGTCCAGTGGGTGACGGTGCTTGATGCAGAAGTTTCGGCCACAACGATCGCAGGTCAGTTTCATCATTTCCCGCTGCCGGCAGCCAGAGCGTTCACACTTATTGGTGAAGATCTGAGGTGAAGTGGGAAGGTTTGTCTCTGCTGAGATTCTGACTCCCTTCTCCAACCTCGTCATAACAGCTGCTCAGGGTTCCCGGCATCCACAGTCCCAGATGCGTCACGGCTAACCCCTCCAATGCTGACCTTACGTTTTTGTTGTGCTGGATCTGAGCGACAGTCTCGGTCAATATGCTCCCCGACAGCGCGGTCAGGAGGTTCCCCTCTGGCCACAGGTACAGGCACATTACAGAGTGGACATACAGGTACCTGGATATCCTATAGTAAAGGGGCAGGGGCCACTCTGAGGCCCTCTGCCAGTCCAACCATATCTCTGGTTCCTGAAAGAACTTGGATATGCCCTCCATAAACTCACAAGGACACTGTTTCCAGCTGTGAACCTCAGAAAGCCAATAAAAGAGAGGAAATGGGAGGCAGAGGAATTCCGGAGATTCTGCCTGTATCCTCCACTCACGCCCTTTCACCCTCAGACCGCCCCTTCACCTTTTGGTAAGCAGATCCACAGTGATGCTGGGCGTAGGCCACATGGTCTGCGCAGAAGATACCCGAGCAAGCGTCGCACTTAAGCGGCAGAAAATCTGTAGGGAGTGGGTAGGATTTAAGTCCAGCAGAAACTCCACGTCGTTCCCACACACTCAAGCCTTCCACTCCGGGTAAGGCTGGAAGGCTTACACTACTTGCAACAGCACCATGCCCTAGTCCGCCATCTCCTTAGCCACGCCCCCTTGGCCTCCGCCCCCAACTTGGAGCCCTGCCCTTCCCAGGCATATCCAGCCTGGGAACTTGAAGCCCACCCGTCGTCCCACCTACAGTCCCAGCCCCTCCGCGCCCGGCCCCGCCCCCTGCGCGCTCCGCCCCTCACCCAGACGCTGACAGCTCGGCTCGGAACAGTGAGCGCCGAGGTCCGGAAACTCCATCTCCGGGTCAGGCGGGGCCTACTGGGAGCAGAAGCGATGCTGAGTGTCTAGGGCTCCCGCTCCAGGTCTGGACCACAACCCCGCACTCGAGGAGCTCTCTGTCCCACCCCTCCCTCTTCGCCCCACCAACCAGGGTTACCGGAGCCTCCGCGCCTCCCGGCTCTTGGTTCCCACTCCTCCCTTGGCGCGCGCTGGCGCGCTGACGTCATCGCGCAGGGCGGCCCCGTCCCGCGCATCTCCGGGCGGCGGGAGGAGCGTCCCCGCCCTTCCTCACTAGGCGCTGAGAAGGAGCTGGGTGGCTGTCTGCTTGTTGGTGGGTGGTTGGCGTGGCTCCGTGATCCTGGGCGCGGGCTGAGCTCCACGAAGGGCGAAGGAGCCAGGGAAGGCGAGGACAGAGGATCTGGGAAGGAGGGCTGCGGTGGTTTGGGGCTTTTCACAGCTGGGTCCTTCGCCCAATTCTCACTGATAGAATCCGGACAGTCCTACCGCCTTTTTGAATAAGCCCACCCGCCATCTCAGAGAGACCTAGGTTTCATCTTACCTAGGCTATAAGCATTCTCCAGAGGACATGTCAATGCAAGCCACAAGCTCACCTTTTCCCTGATCCCTCCCCTCAAAAAGCCCTCCAAAAAACCTGGTCATAAAAAGCCTCTTAGCCTGTACGAGACACCTTTGTTCTGCTGGTCAAAACAGGGGCCGCTCTCAGGTTTAACAATACACCTGCTTGGACTGTTGAGTTTGTATCCCCTCTTTTCCTTATATTCACTCTGTACCTAGCTGTTTCCCTTACGGCCTGAGCTGCACTTAACTCACACGAGCAGAGAACTCTCATATTTCTCTGAAGTACAAATTTCTCTCCAAAGCTGCAGATCGTTCCTCCAGGTTTAGCTTTGGTGCCCTTGACTTCGCTGACCCTCTCCAGTCTCAGGTACGTGTACCTACTGTGTGATATCCCAGGTTCTGTTCTGGTGCCCATATTACCTTTTATTGTAATCAGCTCTACACACATGCAAATATACTGAGAGTCAGAGACCATGTCTACTTTATTCTGTGTTAGGTCCCTAGCACCAAGTGCAGTGCCTAGAACTGTGGTTTGTTGTACATTGGTTTGAATTTAAGATCCACTTGTTTATGACAAAATAAGTTGTTTTTAGAAGTAAAGTTGTTTTCTTATAAAAATGAAGTAAGTTGTGTCAGGATGTCATCAGTTCATATCTGATCTTACCAGTAAGCCCTCAGTTAGTTCAGCTGCTGATGGATTAAAAACAAACGACTGGATAATACATGCAAAGACAGGAGGTATAGGGCAGTATGGCAGTACGTTTCAGTTCCCCCCACCCTCCCCATTCTCGGGCCAACGAGTATTATTTGAGCTAAATCTGAAGGGTAAGTAGATGTTGGCTAGGTGAAGGCCAAAGGAAAACTGAATGGGGTGGAAGGAGATAGTATTCCAGGTAGAGGAAACAGCAGGGACGAAGACCTGGAGATAAGAGAACAAAGTTATTTAGATGAGTTTTTAAAAAGTTTAGGGCATCTGGATCTTAGAGTGTAAAAGGCAGCCTGGCAGGAAGTGACACTGGAGAGCTAGCAGGGGCCAAATCACCTCAAGTAGTGGAGACCACATTATCATTGAGAATTTTAACATAAGCATAATGGGAAGCTATAGATAGCTTTAAGCAGGAGAGTGACATGATTTGTATTTTGGGAAAGTCACTCTGGCTTCAGAATGGAGAACAGATTGGAGGAAGTATGAGATTGGAAGGTTAGGAGGCTGTTGCTGTAATCCAGGAAAGAGATGATGTTCTCAACCAGGGCGGGGACAGTGCTTAGAATTAATGAAAGCTCAGTAGAGAGGTTAGATAAAAAATCGATATTTTAATATAACTGACTTTCCAATATATTACTGAAAGGATAAAGTGGAAAAAAATAATTCTATTCCCAGAGCAGTCATAAAGTACTCAGAACAATTTTTTCAAGAAAAATTCTGACCTTATGTGCAGGAAACACCTGCTTCTATGCAAAAGTTCTGCTAAACATGCAGTTAGTGTATGGAATGCCTTTGGTCAATCCTTCAGGGAGATTCTGGCAGCTGCTTCCCTCAACTCACCTTAACACCCTGGGGTAGGCTCTGGGCAG